TAGTATAAAGATGTGTTACCGACCAGCCGGCTACTTTGTGAGGCTCCTTTGAAGAACTGTTTTGTCTGATGGCTCCTTGGTAGCAATGGCTACTTGGTCTGCAATAAAGCCTTTCCTATATACCTGTGACTTCTCATGTCTCCTCTGTCTAATACCTGGAGTCCAAGGGAACTTGCTCCACAGTTAGTGTAGTTGAGCAGGATTAAGGACCTGTGCTCCCACAGTGGGTCCTTTTTTTTAGTATAGTTGGTATATATTAGTTGTTTTTCTGATGTACAATATAGTAATTCAACATTTTTATACCTTAAAATGTGATCACCTCAGTAATTCTAGTAATCAATCATCAGTCACCATGTCAACTTATCACAATATTATGGACTATATTCCCCTTCACCTTTTTCACCCATCCCCCTACCCCACCCCACCCTCCTCTGGTAACCATCCCTTCAGTCTCTGTTTCAATGTGGGTCATCTTATGCCAAATGGGAACAAATGAGTGACAGAATTGTGTTGTTGTTTTTCCCTGCCTCCCTTTTGTTATGTTAGTTGTTTGTAGAGCCAGTTTCATGACAATGGGTTTTGGCTCAGGGAAGTCCAAATTTCACCAAGAAATCCAACTTTGGCTTTCTTAAATCCATTCAGTCTTCCTCTGTTCCCAGCACTAAGTTCTAAGGATGAAGAAATCCATTTTAATTCCATTCTTATAAAATAACTGCTAAATAAACAAGCCAGTTAGTTTATTTGGCTAAGACTGTAGGGTTAATAATGTCCAAACCTTATATAATCTACACTCCTTTTCATAAATATCATAATAAAATGGTGACCTCATGGAACAAATCAGAAGTCCCAGATTCTAGACCAAGTTCTATCACTAACTAGTTTTGTGGGCAAGTTAATCTCTTTGGGCCTCAGTTTCCACATGTATACAAAATCAGGGATTGCTATATATTACAATATTCCAAATGTCCTATTTTTACAGGATGTTAGTAGCCATTATTTATTCAATTAAGTTTAAGAAATACTAACCTAAATAAAGTTCTAAATGTTTATTTCAGGACTTTTTAGCATCTTTATGCTGTGCCCTTTGAATCTCTAAGAGGGGAATATAATGTGCAGCAAACTCATTTCACCATTAACTAGTATTTTCATGAAACATGTGTCCCCCTGAATATACTTTTGGGAAATGTACTATTATTTCTAGCATCCAAATGAGTAAATTTATCAGTCAGGGTCCCAGAAAAAAACAGAGGGCAACTTCAAATGGGGACATGTAAGTAAAAGAATATGCTAAATGACTATTTACAAAGATATAGGCAGGGTTTATGGAAACCCTGGAGCTAATAATACCTGGGAGGCGTTACTATCCCTAAGTGAACAGGGGCAAAGGGGGGACCTGAAATGCAAAAGTGTAGTTGCAATAACTGAAGAATGGCCTTCAATAGAGGATAACTACAGTGCCCTGGCAGGAAAGGAGGCCGGGGAAATACACACAATTTCATTTGCTTTTCAACCTCCAATCTCTTGCTGGTGCTTCTCATTTGTTGAAACCAACCAAAAGCCAGAGGGTAAAGGAACCTACCTACCTGAGAGAACTGGGAGAAGAATGGAAGAGTGGAGGGGGCATCCAGAGGGGCCCGCGGAAGCTACCAGCACAGGACTCCGTTCACAAGCAGGTAGATTAGGTGACTAAACGATGTCCTCAGGACTCAGTCTCTATCTCTCTGCTCTGCTTTCCTTTGGTGGCTTCATTCTAAGGCAGGCTCTTGCCACCTGCAGCACAGATGCCAGCAGCAGCTCTAAGGTCATCTCATTTAGTTTACAATTCCAAATAAAATAAAGGAGTAAAGAAAAGACTTACTGTAGGCCAGGTGCTTTTGAAAGCCATTTAGATACATCAACTCAAGTTAATTCTCATAAGTATCCTATACTAGTAAGGTAGCTATTGTATTACCTTACCTTTAGAGATGAAGAAACTGACATATGACTGGTAAGTGGAAAAGGAAAGCTGAAATTTAGATTCAGATAGTCTACCTCTAGAGTCTGCGCTTTTAACCACTGCACTTAGTGCTTCTTGATAAATAAGCCCTATCTTTTAAGCATCCACACCATTTATCAGAAAGGATGCTGGGTCATGTGCTCACCACTGAATCAACCACCTGAGCCATGTGTCCAAGCCTATGACAGGAACCCATGACTGCTAGGAATTTCTCCCTAAGAAAGATGCCAGACAGATGTACAAAGCAACAATTGTCCATCATAGGCAGTGTGGACGTGAAATAGTTCTAGGGACTGGAACTACAATTCTAGTTCTGCCTGTGTTTGCCATTAACTTCAAACAAATTACCTATCACTTCACTGTCAGCAAGGACATTCTGATCCCATTTACCTCCAAACGTGGTAGTGAGAATAAGTGGAAAGATACAAGGATCTTTAAACAAATATCTAAATATATCTAATTAAATAGATATAAATATAACACATTATTATAGTAAAATGTAGTAGTAAGATTGAGATATCCCAAACTTGAGCTAATAACTTCTGAAGCTAATTTTTCAGTCAACATTATCTCTGAAAATTTCCTTAAAAATGACATCCTTTAAAAAAAAAATATGAGGTAAGCCCTAACTGGTTTGGCTCAGTGGATAGAGCGTTGGCCTGCGGACTCAGGGTCCCAGGTTCGAATCCGGTCAGGGCATGTACCATGGTTGCGGACACATACCCAGTGGGGAGTGTGCAGGAGGCAGCTGATCGGTGTTTCTCTCTCATCGATGTTTCTAATTCTCTATCCCTCTCCCTTCCTCTCTGTAAAAAAATCAATAAAATAGGAAAAACCTCGCATAAGGGTAAAACCATCCGTTTGTAGAATGAGGAAAGGAAAGAAGTGCGGGGAAACTGCCACGGGGATGGGCCGGGTTCTTCTCTCCTTGCTTCTTCCCTTGCTCGCTTTCTCTGACATCTCTTTCCGAAGCTGCCTCGGTTTCCTTTCTAGTCCCTCACCATCAGTGCTTTCCCCCTCGGATTCAATCAACCCACGCCTCCTTTTCTCAGAGCCGCTTCTTCTGAGTAGCGTCCATTGCTGCTTAAAGTCCCTTCCTATTCCCTCATTTCACTTGCTAATGGCAAAAACAGCTTCAAAAGATTGCAATTTTTGAGGGAGGAAAAAGTAGAAGGATGGCGTTTACTTTTACTGAAAAAGTTAAAATTCTCTTTTATTCTAGTGAAGGGGAAAAGAAAAAAACCCTGCTAGCATAGGATGACTTCGATCCATTAACCTCTGGGTTATGGGCCCAGCACGCTTCCGCTGCACCACCCTGCCTCTGTAGGTGTAGCCGGCTCCTGATTCCTATAGAAAGTTTCCTACGTGATCTCTGTCCTAATCTCTTTACACAGCGCCGTCTAATGTTTGGTAAAAAGAAAAAAAAATCCGTCATTACTGTCTAGTCTCATCTGATTGGCTAGTTCCTGATGCAGCAGGGATTTTTAATTGGTTTACAAGCCCGTTTTCTACGGTAAACCAATAGGCATAAGCGGAGGAGTGAGGCAGGAGCCAATCGCACCGTGGTGTGTTGGCAAGAGAGGGCGGTCGGTGTGGCTTCCATTGTTCAGGATCTGGGGCACCACGAGGGGCGACAGAGGCCGAGGTCGTGGCGGGCGCTTTGGTTCCCGAGGAGGCCCGGGAGGAGGGTTCAGGCCCTTGGTGCCCCACATCCCATTTGATTTCTATTTGTGTGAAATGGCCTTCCGTCGGGTTAAGCCAGCACCTGATGAGTCTTCCTTCAGTGAGGCATTGCCGAAAAGAAATCAGGACCTTGCTCCTAATTCTATCCTTTCTCTGGTGACAAAAATAAACAATGCGATTGACAATTTGTGGCTCCAGGGACATTTGAAGTGCAAATTGCAGAAGTGCGACAGGTTGGATCATATAAAAAGGGAACAATGACTACAGGACATAATGTGGCTGACCTGGTGGTAATCCTAAAGATTTTGCCAACGTTGGAAGCTGTTGCTGCCCTAGGGAACAAAGTCGTGGAAAGCCTAAGAGCACAGGATCCGTCTGAAGTTTTGACCATGCTGACCAATGAAACTGGCTTTGAGGTCAGTTCTTCTGATGCTACAGTGAAGATTCTCATTACAACAGTGCCACCCAATCTCCGAAAACTGGATCCAGAACTCCATTTGGACATCAAGGTGTTGCAGAGTGCCTTAGCAGCCATCCGCCATGCCCACTGGTTTGAAGAAAATGCTTCTCAGTCCTCAGTTAAAGTTCTCATCAGACTTCTGAAGGACCTGAGGATTCGTTTTCCTGGCTTTGAGCCCCTCACACCCTGGATCCTTGACCTACTCGGGCACTATGCTGTGATGAACAACCCCACCAGACAGCCTTTGGCCCTCAATGTGGCATACAGGCGTTGCTTGCAGATTCTGGCTGCAGGACTGTTCGTGCCAGGGTCAATGGGTATCACAGACCCCCGTGAGAGTGGCAACTTCAGAGTACACACGGTCATGACTTTGGAACAGCAGGACATGGTCTGCTTCACAGCTCAGACTCTGGTCCGAATCCTCTCACATGGTGGCTTTAGGAAGATCCTTGGCCAGGAGGGTGATGCCAGCTATCTTGCTTCTGAAATATCTACCTGGGATGGAGTGATAGTGACACCTTCAGAAAAGGCTTATGAGAAGCCACCAGAGAAGAAGGAAGGGGAGGAAGAGGAGGAGAATACAGAAGAACCACCTCAAGGAGAGAAGGAGTAAAGCATGGAGACTCAGGAGTGACTCCCTTCTCTCCACCCTTTCTTACCCAAGGGGAAGATGGAGCTGAGCTACCTGCTACTGGGCTCTATATGGAGGCATTTCTGAGGGCTGGGGGAGACAGGAAAGAAAATAAAAATAAACTATGGAAGGAAAAAAAAATCAATAAAATATATTTTAAAAAAACATATGAGGTAAAATAAATAAAGCCTTATTTTTTAAAGTGGTCTTGCAGACATGACACATGAATATTCCCTAAGAATAAACAAAGCACAATTACAAGTTTATTGATTTTAGCAAAATAAAATCACAAAAGTGGCTTCTTAAAAACTAATGAGTAATTTTTCTTGTTTCCTTGTCTCCAGAGCATTTGGCATTCTTTATCAACTGGTACATAAAAGAGTAGAAAAATAGAAGATTGTCATATTGTCCTTTGTATTTCTCTTTTAATATATCAGTATGGTAGTCTACCAGAAAGTAGTAGATGGCTTCAATTGTGGAAAGGAAGGTATCTGGCTTTCCTTTTTGATGGCGCCAAAAGCAAGTTTTTCTTGTTTTCAACTCAACTTGCAGCAACCCTGCCAAAAACAAATAAGAAAAGTATAAATATATATACATTTTTATTCTCACCCAAGGATGTTTATTGATCCTAGACAGAGAGGAGGAAGGGAGGGACACAGAGAAAAAGAAAGAGAGAGAGAGAGAGAGAGAGAGAGAGAGAGAGAGAGAGAGAGAGAGAGAAATATCGATTGGTTGCCTCACATATGCACAATGACCAGGGATTGAACCCACAATCTAGGTATGTGCCCTGACCTGGAATCGAACCTGCAACCTTTTTGGTATACGAGACAACATTTCAACTAGTTGAACCACCCACCCACGACTAAATATTTCTTAATCACAGGGTGTGGTACAATTAAATGATTTCTCTTAATTAAAATTTTTTTTTAAAGAGCACAGATAAAACCCCTTGCTCCCAATTTAAAGTAAGATATTTTTGCCCTAGCCAGTTTGGCTCAGTGGATAGAGCATCAGTCCACAGATTGAAGGGTCCCAGGTTCGATTCCAGTCAAGAGCACGTATCTTGGTTGCAGGCTGGATCCCCGGCCCTGGTCTGGGCTTGTGTGCAAGGCAACCAATTGATGTGTCTCTTCACATTGATGTTTCTCTCTCTCTGTCTCTCCCCCTCCCTTCCACTTTCTCTAAAAATCAATGAAAAAATATCCTTGGGTGAGGATTAACAAAAATAAATAAAATATTTTCTTAAATGCATTAAAATATATACAGAAGCAATATAAAACACGGATTGAAATCTTATACCTGTAAGTCTTAGACCCGGTAGCAATGGGTAAAAGTAGTTAATATTTAAGGGATCCATCTCTCTCTCTCTCTTTCTTTCCCTCTCTCTCTCTCTCTCTCTCTCTCTCTCTCTCTCATCTTCATCCCAGGAGTGAGGATATTTCTTTCCCATTGATTTTTAGAGAGAGTGGGAGGAGGGGAAGGGAAAACAGAAATATTGCCATGAGAAAGACACTTTGATTGGTTGCCTCCTGCTTGAGTCCCAACCCAGGCCTGGATTGAACCTGCAACTAAAATATGTGCCTTTGACTGGGAATTGAACCCACAGCTGACGCTCTAACCATTGAGCACCAGCCACAGCAAGTCATCTCTTTCTGCTACCTACCACTGTCGTTTTTATTTAAACTTGTGACAGGACTAAATTCACCAGTTTTCAGAAGGGTTTCATTTCCTTGATAAATTAACATTTAAAACATCATTTTGAAACTCACTAAGAGGGAAATAGGCAGGTTAATGGTCTTTAATGCCTCTAGAAGTATTGAAAATGTTGTAAGCAACTAGTACAATTAAAATCTTAACATAGGTGGTGGGGACCACTTTGTAAAGTATATGATTGTCTAACCACTATGCTGTATACCTGAAACTAATACAAAATAATATTGCATGTAAACTGTAATTGAAAAATAAAATTAAAAAAAAATCTTAACGTAGGATTTTGACATCATCAATGTAATTTATAAAAAGAAACAAATTAAGAGTAACTATTATAATAATGCTAGTTTCTATAATACATCTAATATATTCTAAAATATCTAATCTAATGAAAGGGTAATATGCAAATTAACCGTCACTCCGACACAAAGATGGCGGCGCCCATAGCGTCCCACGCTCTGGCTGCGGAGGGAGGGAGGGCGGGCTGAGGACCAACCCAGCGGACACAACGCAGGGGGTCCTCTGCACATGAGCTGCAGAGGAAACACCTTTTTTAACCGCTCATTGGCTAAGCTCCCTGTACGCCGCCACTAGCAGTGTTCTTAGTAACCTGGGTAATAAGAATCCAAGAAGGTGATCTAGGGTTTTCCTACCACACTCCTGGAGGAAAAAACTAAGGTCCGCTGTTGGAGGGGCTAAGAAATGTCATATCCTGCCCTAGCCGGTTTGGCTCAGTGGATAGAGCCTCAGCCTGCCAACCGCAGGGTCCGGGTTCAATTCTGATCAAGGGCATGTACCTAGGTTGCAGGCTCCTCCCTGGCCAGGGCCCAGGTCAGGGCTCATGCAGGAGGCAACCAATCGAAGTGTCTTTCTCATGGCAATATTTCCTCACATTGATGTTTCTCTCTGTCTTTCCCTCTCTCTTCCAAGCTCTCTAAAAATCAATGGAAACATATCATCAGGTGAGGATAAAAAAGGAAAAAAAAGAAATGTCATATCCTATGAACGACACATCTTGAAAATGCCTAAAGAAAGTTGTCATTTTTTCATGGTGAAGGGACTGGAGTCCGCGTTGATGAAAACACCTTGGCGGCTGTGGCAGTGGCAGCAGCAGCAGGGTGATGGGGCTGGCGCCTTCCCCTGATCAGCCCGGTCACCTCCCGCAAAGGGAGGCCAGACTCCTGAGGGCTCCCAGTATGTGAGAGGGGGCAGGCTGGGCTGTGGGACCCCGCCACCGTGCACAAATTTCATGCACCAGGCCTCTAGTTAAATATAAAAACCAAGATTTAGTGACTATCACCACTAATATATCTGGTCTTAAAAATTTCCTTGGAAATATATAGACATATAGAACCTTTTAAATTACACTAAAATACACAGACATGAAATTAGTTAGAAAATTTATATTTTTAAAAGTTTGATATATACATTTAAAAAAATTTCTTGCCAGTATTTCTGGCAATCAATAACTTTAAGATAAATACACAAATTATTTTAGCAGTAAAACTTGAAAGCAGGTAACTGTAGATGGCTTTTCCCTCTTAAATTATTGCCTGAATTTCTTCAACCAAAAAAATGGGAATGAAAATCATATTGTTGTGAGGACTAAATGAGATCATATACTAGGATGACGAGCATTAACACACTAAGTATAGTTTGGGAAATGTTTATAATGTGAACAAATCTGTCAAAATGAAGGGATAGAGCTGGCAATTTTTAAAACAAATTACGATATAATTCCCACTTTAATCATCTGGACCCTCTCCCTAACAAAAAGAAAACCATCCTTCCCACCACATCCCCCCAAAGCTTCCCATGGTGAATCTTCAAGAATGTATGTCAGTTCATGTGTAGGTTTACACTATATGATTAAATTAGACATTTAACCTTTAAATGTTTTATTTTGACAGTAGTAAAACACCCAGAGCTTTCCTCTGTAAAGTCTGGCAAAATGATATGTTTTTACATTGTTAAGGGGATTCGTAACCTCAGCACTCATAGTAAGATAACAGAAACATTATTTTTTTAATATATTACTTTTGAGGGTTTAAACTGATGTTTAGAGTTGTTCACATTAATCCCATGAAATGATAAAATGTTTTCAAGCCTATAGGCAATGATTTATAACAAACATGGGTTGTTTCTTGTGGAAGTACCTGGGCTTATCTGGAAAATGGTAGTTCCCAAATACAGAGATTGTAAATATGCACAGAGCCCGATTTCCCTGTGGTGAACGGTGGAGCCAGAGTAGGACATGCAGAGAAGACTGACTCTAGAAATCAGTTTATTTCATGATTTTCAAGTAATTGAGAAATACTTTTTAAAAATGTAATGTAGCCCAGAATTAAAATGGATGGTACTTTCTATGTGATGTGGGAAGAACAAAAATTATTCTGTACAAATCTGATTTTAAGCCTTAAGCACACATGTGGACACTCTGAAAACAGATTTTGAATTGTACCTCAGAAATTCCTTATATAGTTTTTTTCAAGTGTTTTCACTTACGTTCTTTCATTGGATCCTTTCAATAACCATATAAAGAAAAATAGCTCAGAAAAATCTTCAAACTGGGGAGTAATTTGCTGCTGTAACCATCCAAGATAATGTGGCCGGCAGTATTCCAAAGAGCAAGGTTTTAGGGTTCCATTTCCATTTCTCTATTAAACATCAGCAACAAGATTCTTCCAGGTCATATGCACCACAGTGTGTGTGTGTGTGTGTGTGTGTGTGTGTCTCACACACACACACACACAATTTCTCTGTATCTCTCTTTCTCACACACATACACATAAGCACACACAGAACAGGAAAGCAATCTTACTAACATTTATGTTGATTTCACAGGTATGAACCATATAAATTAAGCTAACTAACTTTACTAATGTCACTCACTTTAGCTTGGTACTGATTAACACAAGTCAGACTCCGAAAAGTGCCATAAACTTTCTTTTCTAAATGATGTACTTTTGACAACATCCTGGGAGAAGCTTTCCCAGGTTGAAACTGTTTTGACAACTGCCTAATACCAACTAGGTTGGTAGCTAGCTCTCTTGCCTTATAATCGCATATGGTACACAAATAAAGCCAGCAAAAAGCTGGAAATAAAACTAAAGCTTTTAGAAAAACTGAGAAAGCCTGAAGAACTGAGTAGGTGAAACAGAGCATGAGAGTTCATAAGAGCTCCTGTTCTTCATATTACTGATTGTCATACTTGGGGAAATAAAGCAACTCTTCTACTAATAAACCATTATTATTAGGAACTAATCTTTTCACTCCAAGAGAAAAAGAGATATAAAACAAGAAAGAAAATCACTGTAATGTTAAAGCTGCCTCTCTCTCTCTCCACACACACACACACACACACACACACACCCTTTTATTTTCTTGGCTCTGTCCTTTGAAGCAACGACATCCAAACAGTAATAAATTTACCAGATCTTGGTTTCTAATATCATTCCCCATTAAAAAAGCCCCACAGTTCCTTTGAATGACTGGTTATTGGTCTGGGGCAGAAGAAAAGTGCAAGTAAACTTTGAATGTTTAATTCTAGGTCTGAGGAAGGAAAAAGTGCTGAACCAGAAAGACTAATGAGGCCATGCCTCAAAGGACTTGAAGCGCTCCCACTGTCAAAATCTGAGACAATCTGGGCATAAAAATATATATAATCATTATAGATTTTAACATACTGAATTAAAAAGGCATGTATCACACCACAGTGATCTCATAAATGGTACAAGGAGAGAGGACAAAAGAGGAGGAGAAAAAGGAAAAGCTCTTCCTTACATAAGAATGCCAGCCAACAAATATAGAAGAAATCATAAAATTAAAATTTTATCATTTTGCAATTCTCAATTAATTACTGATTTAAAAGAAGCGTCATCAGTGAATACAAAAACCTCTGAATGAAAAGCAGTTGGTAAATAGACAGTCCATAGTCTCAAAGCATCACCTCACAGATTACTACTTCTGTCAAAGAAGAAAATAAATCTTTAGAACGGAGAGATCTGGCAATCACCTTTAACCAAGAACTGAAAGTTATCACCAATAATGGAACAACTTATTTAAATGCCTCCTGTTCTGATGCAATAAGTAAACAACTTCACCTATATGAATAGGGTAATCATATAATTTATCAGTTAAATAGCCTCATTTCTAAGAGTAAAAAGCAATCTTATTAATAATTATACCAAAACAATAGTTATAAACTGGAATTGTCATGGGCAATCCTGGATTTATCCTTATCTGTAAGGATCCTTGCAAAAAATTTTAAACTGAATCTAATCACGATGAAACATTCAGACAACTGACCTGTCCACTTCACACAATTCTAAGTCATGAAAAACAAAAACAGGGAACTGTTCTACATTAAGAGAGAATGGAGAGACGTAACCACATGGAATGTGAGTTTACATACCACATCATACATCAGAGGAAAAATCCTACAGAATATATTTTTGGATCAATTAGGGAAATGTGAATTTGGACTGTATATTAGACATTACAGAAGTTTTGTTAATTTCTTAAAGTGATAATGATACTATGATCATGCAATTATTCTTAAAAGATGTATACAGGCATTTAAAGGTGAAGTGTTGTAAAGCCTACATCCTTCTTTCAAAAGGTTCAACCAAAAAAATATTTATCTAAGTATACAACACACATAATACAGAAAAGAGAAATAAAGCAAATGTGGTATGGGTAGTTAATGTAATTCTTCTAATGTGTCTGTAGACATGAAGTTTTCTGAAATGAAAGTTGGGGGAGGGGGGAAGCAATACAAAAACAATTTTTTTTCTTACCTTGAAGTCTCTCATCAGTGAATATTTTGTTTGTTTGGTTCCAGGTGCTATCTATAAATATAATTTTTTTCAGTGTTGTCTCTTTGCACTTGCTGTCATTCAAATCTTGTTCTTCAGTTTTCTTGCGTTTACTAGATGGCTTGTCAGGGTCATCATTTTTGCCCCTCACATTATTTTGAATCCTTTTTTGCAGATGAAACGAAATATCTTTTATTGAGACAGACTTAGGTCCAGGAAAAATGAGCGCAACCTAAGGCAAAGAAACTTAAGTTAATAGTGTGTGATTATGATCAGAATGAATTAATTATGACTTAAAACTTTAAGAGAAAAAAATTGAATATCTAAGAAACAAGCATGTTTCTACTACATCCACTTCTTCAATACATATGGTAAATTTTTGACTCTTTCCAAGTAATTTATAATCATTGTATACTACCTAAAAGTTTTATTTCAAAATAAGTTATTCACCTGTGGATAGAAGCCTAGTTAATTGTACCTTGAAAGAGAAAACTAAACTTTATATTTCATAAGATCAAAGGCAAAGTGTGTGATATTTTGTAAAAGAACCATTGAAAAGTGCTCAATAATTAAATACCATTTTTACCTATATAATAGACAAAACAAATGATACACAGTCAATACTGGTAAGCAATTTGGCAACTTAAAGAATTTTGAAATGTTCACACACTTTCATCAAATAATTTCACTTATGAGCATTTAATAAAATAATCCTAAATACCCATATACCCACCACACCCATAATATTTATTAAAACTATATCTATTACAGTGAAAAATTAAAACTGAAAAATCTAACTTTCAAGGAAAAATTCTATAAATTATAGTACTTCTTTTAGCACTTTACTGAGAATTTATACTCCTAGAGCCTTCAATGAAATGTCGGAATGGCTGCTATCACAAAGCAGGCATCCAGTAAATATTTGTGAAATGAGTAGATGTTGGTAGAATTATGAGTATTTTATCCCCATACTTTTCTGTATTTCCCAAATTTTCTTTAACAAGCATCATTTTTAATATTAAAAATAAGCATTATAAAAATAAAAGAAACAAAAAATCTTGAATTTTTAAACTTCAAAGTTATATACAAGTTGCTTAAACATCCACAATCCATGCCAATATTCCCCCTGCACTCAATTAGCAAAGTCTAGGGGTTTTAGATTTTCTTGGATTATAAGATATCACATCACTTTATTGAACCTAGCACTGTGCTCTATTTAATTAACATAAATTATACCTCGCTGACAAACGAAGGAAATGCAAATATATTCCTAGATCCAAAATTCAGGTATTATTTACAAACACAATTTTCTATATAAACTCAATAAAAAACATACTTATGAAAAAGGAAAAACCAAGTTCTTTTTAGAACTGAGTGTATGTATTAATTTTTAATTTTGTTTCTGATTAACAACACCAATAAATGATCCCCAATATACCTAAAAGGGCTTACAAGTTTCTTTAAAAAGTACCCAATGCCTACTTCTTTTTGAGATCTATTACAAAATTGCTTTTCAACAAGGCCGGTAATATCTCATCAATGTGAAATTTCAACTATGCGAAAACCAATTAAGAATCTAGAAATGAGCAAGGAAGGCCTCTGAGCTGACAAAAGAAATGTTACAAAGGCCATATACTAAAGCTCTAAATTTAGGGGAATTCCTGAAAATTTTTTTTCATTCAGTCTTTCTTTTCTTCTTTTGGAGAAATTCCAATAATGTTTGTAATCTGGTTTCTCAGTTCGCATTAAATTAGACCACCTATGTGTCATATAGGCAGGACAATAAAGTGGGGAGAAAGTAAAAGCAGGCATAATAATATTGGCAAAGTGTAACAACTTAAATAAATAATTCAGAAAAAAATGATAAAAAGCGGAAAGACTCAAAAAAGTCTAACAAATCTAGGATCGTCTGATCTCTTCAGATACCAATGAAATGAAGTGTGTGTTGTTTAGTGCTAGATATAAGGATAACCCTAGATCATTAAGAAAAGTATTAAATTGTGTTCAAGTAAGTTCAGAAAGACACTGGAATTTAAAGTTCATTTTAGATTCAATGTGCACAGTTGCAAGAAATAAGCTACCTACTTCATGGTCCTCTTCTTCATATTCTGGAATACAAGGGTACGTGTAAATATTTACAAATTCGGGTGCTAACAGTTTCGCGTGTATAGCAGTACTTTTGCCATCTGTTTCATTTGGATGTTTAATGATGTCAATCTTCAGTGGAAGCTAAAATAAAAATAAAAAAAGACAAGTGAATAAGCCAAATATTAAAATTCTAATTATTATGTTAATACAAATGGTCTTTAAAGCTTAAACAGCAAACTCACACTACATCTTTATAAATATACTTATGGTTTGAAAATCATCCATTTCTACACCAGGATATTAAGAACAATAAGAGTCATAAACCAAATCCAAATTTCTTCCTTGATATTGTTAATCATATGATAGAGCAACTATTTTAACTCACTTAACAGAGAATCTGCTCTTAAAGCAAAGCTCCAATGTCATTTTCATTTATGTTACAAAGCCATTGAGTCCGATCACTTCTATTTCAGCATCTATGCCAATAATATTTTTTAGAATTCCTATAAGCTTCAGATTTTTTCATTTTATGACACCTAAGAGGAAATAAAAGTTTGGGCAAAGTTTCATATCTAAAATTCAAGTTAAAATGTTGTTCCTTATACATCCTTTGACGTCATATATCCAATTATCCTTAGTTGTGAACATCATCATTCTCAGAAGTGTCTTTTAACACACAAATGAAATAATTATCAACTGAAAAAAACAGTAACAGAATGGACCTAGGAGGTGCATTCTATGGGTAAAAAATAACTCTCTCAAAATGACTTGGCCTATTTCTCTTAAAGTTTGATTATTTATTATGGGTTATGTCCTTTATGCAAAAGTAATATTATCTTGCATTTCTTTAGTTATATTTTTCTATTACTTTACTGATGTGGTTTGGTTTTCTGCATAATGCTTGTGCAAGTGCTGCACTCAGCCATGATTATGAAAATGAAAGCTTAGTCATATCTCTCCCACTATACATAAGAACCCTCTCTGAGATGGACTTTGCACTGCAGGTTTCAAAGGACTTATTGTTATGATAAGCACTCTTCCAGCTCCTGTCCTACACTAAACAGGCAGTACTCTAGGTGTTTACCCTGAACACACAGCTATTTTACCCTGGAGTACAAAACAATTTTTTAAACAGCTTTATTAAAGAGAAGAAACTGACACAATAAACTACACACACTTATCGTGTACAATCTAATGAGTTTTAACATGTTACACCCTTGAACTCATCACTACAATCAAGATGATGAACATACCCACCACCCCCAAAGTCTTCTTGTGCTTCCCTCTGTCCCCAATCTCCATCAACTACCACCCACAGTCCTTAGGCAACCACTGATGTGCTATCACTATAGATAAGCTTGGTTTTATTGATTTCTATAAAAATGAAATTATACAGTATGTACTCTCTTCATCTAACTTTCTTCACAAAATAATTATTCTGAGATTCATCCATGCTGCTGTGTGTATCATTAATTCCAGAACTATTTTTTTAAGGAGTAGTTGGTACATGCTACTAAATGATCTCAATGGCACATATTTTATCTTTCCAGATGATTACGTGAAAGAGGACAAACAGTGTATGCCCCAGAAGGGCCATAAATGTTTACCAAATATTTTGCAATTTAGGGTTTCCAACCCAATTTCTTCTACTATCTCCATTTAAGTCTAGTGATTAGTTATAAGTTAGGGCCAACTGGTTCAAATCATCAAAGCAACTTCTAGCTATAGAAAATTACCATTTAAGTAGGCAGATCACAAATGATTTTACATCAGTCTACTTCTGGCTGAACTCTACATCAGACTTCCCTCATGATGCTCAGTCTCAGGTGAACTATATTTCCTTTCCCCAGGGTCTGTCATTACCAGGTCAGCATTACCTTTGCCCAGGGAAGGTAGGAAGAGGAAAGAAGAAAAAGAAAGCAGATCATGACCAAGTATTCTAGTACTAATAAAATCAATTTTCTTTTATGGCTGGTTAGTAGAGCTGAAAATTCCAAAGGTGATCAACATTTTTGACCAGCCGGCTACCTTTGAAAAATATCATTTGTATCAAGGACATAGGACTGAGTGTTATTAATGTATTTTACAAACTATGTACCTAGCCCAGTGGTCAGCAAACTGTGGCTCGCGAGCCACATGCGGCTCTTTGGCCCCTTGAGTGTGGCTCTTCCACAAAATACCAATGGCCCCTTGAGTGTGGCTGCTCTTCCACATACCACGTGCGGGCGCGCACGTACAGTGCGATTGAAATTTCATGGCCCATGCGCAGAAGTCGGTATTTTGTGGAAGAGCCGCACTCAAGGGGCCAAAGAGCCGCAGTTTGCCGACCACTGACCTAGCCTATTATAGACTAAAATCTACAAGCACTAGTAGAAGACAATTATGCAAATTTTGTGCTCAAGAAGTATTCCTGGACCTAGTCCAGGTATCTGTAGTTCTCTGGAAGTTAAGCCTGAAATTTCTGATTCTATGCAAAGCACAGACACAGATCTTATCATAGAAATATATATTTGTGCTCTAGTTCACATATCTTAAAGGAAGATACTTTTTAAATAATGACAGGATAACACTAGAAGAGTTGACCGGATGCAGTTCAAATACAGATGTTCCATTTTCAAACATGTAAAGAACACCAATATGTCCTCTAACACCTATGTATCCTATGAGAGATTTTTACCACAAACTTTTCTGCCCAAATTTATCAAAATGCCATTAGCAGAAAGCCCTAACTAAGCCTTCCCCACATGATTATTACTTTCTCAAAGAAAACCTTTTAAAGTCTAGGACTTTAATAAAAATGAAGCTTCCTTTTACCTTATGATTTTCTCCTATTAAAAAAAATACCAAGAGCATCTTTTAATTTTTTCACGCATTTCTCATGGCACTAAAAAAAATCATATTCCGCATAAAAGGACAGGAATTTATGAATTTATTTCCAGACTAAAATTTAATGCTTGGGAGGTAGTTACTTACTAGTATTATGTAATTATCTTCCCTTCCCAAGCAGGCTATCTAAAAGCAAATGCTAAATAATTTGTAAAAATAAAAATAAAGTAGAAATTAGAAAGAAAAACTTAGTTTTTATTATTAATATATATTATTAATGCATCAATTTTATAAATGGCCTTTAAAATATAGGCACTTTCAAAAACTGCATAGTTAAGTAGGCCATTTAGCGTTGATCAAACAGTTGGCATAGTGTTTTGAGTCATTTCTATTAAGTAGTGTACATTAGACCACTGATTTGGGAAATAACCCTCTATTATTAAATTTCTATGAGAATGTTAGCCCTGTCAATATATCATTGAATTTTATTATTCTGATCTTCAATCCCTTTTGACCATAACAAAAAAGTTTTATACTAAAACTTTTCATGAAATACTTTCTTTATGTGGCTATAACATAAATAGATGATAGAATAATTCTGTGTACACTTCAAAAATAATACTTTGAAATGTAACTAAATTCTTATAAGATAACGGGAAACTTAAAAATAATTATTGTCCTCAAGTTCTCAGTTTTTCTGAAATAACTATAAAGCTGATTAGAGTCCATGCATACTTATTCTCAGCCAGTAAACTTTCCAATAGCCTGTAAATATGATTTTACACCCCTGAGAAGACTGTGGACTTGACAAGATAATATATAGGCTAAACTGAAATTCAAGTAACAGAATATGAGTATTAAAGTATTCTTAGTTCAAATTTAATGAAACTTAAGATCAACACATTAAATGTTTTTAAGTGTAATTACAACTTATTTGCTTACTAGCCAGTTCTAATGAGCTCATGTGTAATTTAGTTTCACTAATTCTAATAGGGAGGAGTCAAATTTTATACATTATTTGATTTACTCCTAGATCCCCAGTCACTGTTAGACATAATAATGTACACCTATCCTATATAATAAAAGGCTAACATGCAAATAGACCGAACAGCCGAACAACCGAACCGGTTGCTATGATGGGCGGGGAACTGTCGGCCATGGTGGGATGGTGGAGCAGGTAAGCGGGGGTGCCAGACCAAGGTGGGGTGCTGGTCGATGTCATCAGGGCGAGCCTGAAAATTCTTTGCTCCCGCATGCCGTGGTCCCGCCCAGCACTCGCACCCGCTGCCAGCACCTGGCACTGAGTGATAGGGGCCGGCACCAGGTGCAAGTGGCGGCTGCCGGCCCCGATTACCCCTCAGGGCTTCTCCACCTTCCCCTGCTCCTGAGGGGCGATCAGGGCCAGCAGCCACCTCTTGCACCCGCTGCCAGCAACAGCCCTGCTTGCACCCACAGCCGGTGCCAGAGCTGCCACACACACCCACTGCTGGCACCCAGTGCCGGTCCTGATCGCTCAGCGCCATCAGTGGGTGCAAGTGGCAGCTGCAGGACCAATTGCCCCTGGGGGCTTCTCCACCTCCCCCTGCTCCGGAGGGGCTATTAGGGCAGCAGCTGCTGCTCATTCCCACTGACAGTGCTGGCCCTGTTTGAACCCTCTGCTGGCGCCGGCCCCAATTGCTCTGCACCGTCAGTGGGTGCGAGCAGGGCCAGCGCCGTCAGCACGTAGGAGCAGCGGTGGCGGGTGGGGCCGCAGATAATGGGCTGAGACCCGATCCTGTGCCCACTGCAGCCTCACAGGCCACAGTTCCTTTCAAGGTGCACGAATTTGTACACTGGGCCCCTAGTCTATAATAATAAAAGGGTAATATGCTAATTAGATTGGACGTCCTTCTGGATGAAGGTGAGGCCAGAGCAAAGCCCAGGTTCTGGGTGCCTGCCGGCTGCCGAAGGGAATCCGCCCGGATCCTGGGTGCCCACTGGTGGCCGGAGGGAAGCAGCCCAGGTCCCGGAGGGAAGCCAGTGCCAGCAGCCGGGGGAAGGAAGGCCTATTCTTGCTCGAATTTTCGTGCATTGGGCCGCTAGTCCTATATAATAAAGAGCTAATATGCTAATTAGACCGGATGGCAGAACAACCTTCCAGAACAACCTTCCGGAATGACCAGTGGTCAGGTGGCAGGGCTGCAGGGCTGCGAGGCAGCGGGGCTGTGAGGGCCTACCCTTGCACTAATTTCGTGCATTGGGCCTCTAGTGCTATCTAATAATAGAGAAACATGGTAATTAACCGTAACTTCGCTACCCTTCCCATTGGCTAATCAGCGTGATATGCAAATTAACTGCCAACCAAGATGGCGGCCGGCAGCCAGGCAGCTGAAGCGAACATGAGGCTTGCTTGCTCCAGTGACGGAGGAAGCCAACGTTCCCCGCCTGCCTCGCCCTGCTCTAAGCTACACTCTAAGCAACAAAGTTGCAATTATAGAAGCTAAACAAGCTCCAGATACCTGCTTTCAGCCAGCTTCGGCCTCAGAGCTTAGAGCGGCAGTGATGGCAACAATGTTTCAATTATAGAAGGTAAACAAACCCAGATACCTGCTTTCAGCCAGCCGTAGCCTCAGAGCTGGAGCTGGGCCTCAGAGCTGGAGCCGGCTCTCAGCTCCAGTGACAGCCATAGAAGGTAAATAATTCCCAGAATTAAAAAGAAAAAAGAAAAAAAGGAGAGGTTGGGAGCTTCAGTTGCCCGCCAGCCTGAAAACGGCCCTCAGCCCCTCACCCAGACTGGCCAGGCACCCCAGTGGGGACTCCCACCCTGAAGGGGGTGTGACCAGCTGCAAACAGCCATCAGCCCGTCATCCAGGCTGGCCAGGCACCCAAGCAGGAC